CATAGCCAAAGTCTCATTTGAGTATGTTTTTTTGTGTGTGTATTTAAAAAACTTGCCATTCTTCACGGGATCCCATGCTTGTGCTCTTAGAGGATCTTCACAAGTGTCACAGCTCTTGGCTAAAAGCCTATTTTTGCTACAGTTCATTGGACTCCTTGCGGCTGATCCTTGCAGCTGCATTGGTCTCTGAGGGATGCTGAACTGAATAGAACATCAGAAGATTTGGAGCCTGACGGGTTTATGTTGCCCCTGTCCTCAAATTCAACTATTCCAGAAAAAAAGTACTAGCACAAGGAACCCGAAAAGAAGAACTATTTCTAGCAATGGATTGGATGAACTCTCCCATTCAAAGCAGAGGATATAATTCATTATAGGAGAGTATTTTTGATTTGTAATTTACCCACTGGGAAAACATCTCAGAGGGAAGACAGAAAAACTGAATTTCTGATGGCATTAAATCAAAAATGTAATAAGCAGGCAACAGATAAATGAACATTAAAAAAAAACAAAATATCACTGATGAAACTTTCAAATAATGTTCTTTATTAAAAATAAATTTTCCTAAATTATAATATAAAGAAAAATTAGAAAATATAATGAGAACATTACCAGGGCATTTTCTTGTCTGTCTTTCTTTTTTGTTTCTTTGAGGTGGGAAAATTTTCTTTGAAAGTAAGACCCTTGATTGGATTCAGGAAAGTGAAAGCTTTCTACATTTTTAGCTCAAATAATGCTTCTCTAAGGTAGAGAATTAATCCTGACCCTACGCATACCTCACCTGTATAGGGAAGAGAAAACCACAGCTTTTTTTTGGGCCCAAATTCCTATTTGGCAAACTAGGATATTTTGGTTTTGAAGACCAGGGTGGAGTATAGCGTGGTATAGTTCCATATGGATACGTCACACTGAAAAACACCAAAATAAAAACCCATCGTTGCTGATTCCCTGTCATTTATCCAACACATATCATCTTAATTGAACTTAAGCCGAAATGAGAGTTCTTATTGGCCAATATTTAGAACTCCATAGTTCCAGAAGTGTTTCCTTTTAACTAAATCTACATCTTGAGTTTTTCAGAAATAATACAGATGAACACATTTTGAAAACATGTTTACCTGTATTATTTCCACTTGACAGTGGCAGTTCAGGATTTAATAGGCATATCCATAATTAAATTATTAGTTGGAGGAACGTTTAGGAAATTACCTGATACAATCGTATATTACAACTCTTCTTTATAAAAGTGCAACTCATTTCATGACACTATCAATGTAGTTAGACATGACTTAGACCTTTAAAAATACTATAAATTTCTTAAAATGGAAAATGCTAGAAACAGTACAGGCATATTATAAAATTATGTTTTTCAAAATCTAATTACTACACACAATTTAGAATAATTGATTAAACATGATTAGTCTTTAAGATGAATAGAATCAATTCCAACTTTAGCTATTATTTAATGATAGCATGCTGTACATTAAAATCAGCTGGAAGATAGCCAAAATAAAGCTTTAAGGGACAGTATGATCATTAAGAATTGCTGTTTATCTTACTTTTATTAGAAAGCTAGACGCTGGAATGAATGCAATAATGTCTAGAAATATGAATTTTAATAATTTCCTAAATATTCCACTTTCTAATTCCAAATATCAGGATATTTTAAACTTCCTCATCGGTTCTACTTTATATACAAAAATTCATACAGTATTAATTCGAACTTCTACTTTCAACACAGACATCTTAAAGACAAGGAATTATGTATTTATAATTTCTTAATAAAATTATGTGTATGTTCTTATTTTTGGTTGTGGCAATTTTTTCATAAAAAGGCTATTGAAATCAGGCTTATTTAAAAATAATAATAATGTTATCTAATATAGAACAGATGGTAGGAATTCTCTTTAACCAAAAGTGTATCTACATCAAGAGTGATACTAAAGGAATATTCTCTTCCTCATTCAGGTATTCATATTGCAGGGTGACATAACCAGTGTAACATAACTAGTGATTTCCAGTCACCTTCTGGATTGATTTAGGAACATTAAAAGAAATGCCGCTATTGTGGACTTCGTTTCAATTATTTAATCTCTTTCCAGTTCACGACCTTTACTTTCTCCTGGTTTCAGTAGGAAAAACAACTTCGTAAGTGTCTTACGTTATAATCAGCTGCTAATCATCATCAATTCAACATTAGTTTTAAATAGTCTGATTCTATAACAAATTTTTAATGGGGATATTTTCTATAAATTTTATAATAGCTATAGGTAGAAAAATACTATTATCTATATGCTAAAACCTTCAAGTTGTTTTGTTTAAAATATATGTTGTACAATTTTCCCTCCAGAAATTTTGATCTATGATAGGACAGTTGTAACTTTTACGAAACTGGGATCCTGAAGCCATATTTTCAAATCAGAAATGAAAGCCTCGCTGTTGTTTCTCCAATGTTTTGAGTTTCTTTGACAAAAGGCAGTATTAAGACTTCTATTTCTAGGTCAAGTCTATATTTACAGTAATAGGAAAATATTGAAGTCTGAGGTTACCAGTACAATGTCTGAATGCCGAATTCTGGACACTGGACAAAATACTTTAGACTCAGAGGCCAGCAAAGTCTGGAAGGCGGTGAACAGAGACAGATGCAATATAGCGCCGTAGATGAAAGTCCAAAGTAAGATTCAGATGTAGCCAAAGAGGGTGGGAGACAGCTTGGGGGGATGTCTGAGCTGCATTTGAAGAGCATATGAAAGCAGCTGCCATTGCAGGGGAGATTTAAAGGAAATGACTCGTCAGGGGGCATTGCATTTGCCAAAAAGAAACAAAGTCTGATATAGTGTGTTTTAGAAATTCCAAACTATTCGATATTGCCCGCAGAGGACTTGGAGAGTGGCAGACAATAGGGGTCTAAAAATAGCAACAAGCGAAGGTGCAAAGTCTTGAGAGATTATGTCTTTGAATCTGGTTGGCAAAATTGTTGAATTATTAACTGTGTAGACGTGCTGTGCAGAACTGAACTTAAAATGTTCATCTTTTTGTAGCATGTCCTCTTAAAAGGTTACTAATACGGGAAAGCAATCGCACAGGTATAAAGTGTGTGTCGTTCTTCCCATGGGCCAAGGGTCTTGTCTCACCTGGTGCCACCATCAAGGGAACAGGCACAGCAGTCAGGTGTGTCCTGGGTATTTCTACTCCTCATTCTTCTAAAAGCTCCCCCAAGAAAAACTAATGGGAGATCATGTGCTTGCTGTAGGTCTTTGCATTGTGTCAATTCCAAGAAATCCTTTGGCAGTGTAAAGCTTTGAAGGAAATTAAATTGGACAGAGACCTTCTCTACCTTTCATTCAGTTCATATAGAATCACTTACTTAGCTGGTATTTTTACTCATAGAATTGGACTCAGGACTAAGGCTATTCATTTAGCTTTCCTTTGAATGTTAAAACATAATGACGTACAAGGCTGTCGCCTCACCATTTATCCCCTACGACTCTCATAGGTATATCCTCATCATTAAACGTTTGAACATGGTTCGTTCCACTGAGATTCTTAGTCTGTATCTTTATATCTTGACTATTTTGACATTTAGAGAAACAGTTTTGAAAACTGCTCTCCTGCCGCTTTCGAATGCTCTTATCTTAGGGCATATTAACGTTGCTACATCTGTGAAACAGGTGGCTCCTACTCAGATCTATCAGTGCAAATTATGCTTAAAGTTCTAAGGAGACTCCCATGTCATCCAGATTTTGGAGAAAAAAGGTAGCGAATAAAAACATATTTCTTAGAAGTAGATCGCAGTTACTATTTTTTTAAATTTCATGGTAGATTTCATCTTTAGTAGATAGGGGTTTTATTCAAAGTTTTTGACCAAACATTTTTAAATTAACTATTTTCAATAGTATTATAAATGATCTGACATTTTTGGTTACAAAACAGCAAAACAAAAGAACCGACTTGGGTAAGCAAGTGAGAAATATTGCTGAAACAGAATCTAATCCTTACTCGGTCATTTCCTTACCAGGGATTTTGTTTGACTAACCAATTTCAATCCACAGTAACAGCTTTGTGCCTAAGACACTACAAATCAAGGAAATACTCACTACAAGGCAATTCCTCCTGTAATTTAGGGTCTGTGCTGTTATCACGAAGCAACTGACAGCAAACATTTGCTGCCCGTGTGAGCGCACATTTGCATGAGGTGTGTGCTGTTTTTGGTTTCACTCTCTATCTCTGAAACCTATCTGCTGGTGAGAAAAACTGTGCAGGAAAAGAAGTTTTACTGCCACATACCTCAGCTGTCCCAGAACTCAATGCAGAGACTTCGCTTCCTTTCTTTCCTTGCATTCTGAGCCGGGGGAGCACAATGGGGGTGTTGTGCTCTGGGCTAGCAAGGCATGCAGATACTCAGAAAGGAGGTGTGAATGGCTTCCAATACCTACACTGTCTGCTTCACAACTACCCCAACTAGATCAACAGGAAACCAAGACACTCAGTCCAGAGGAAGCAAGTACAGAATCCACTGGCTACTGCGACCTACACAGAGAACAGAATTCTTTAAGTGTGTACGTAGGTGTGTTAAGAGTTAAATCATTTACGAGGCTTAAAAAGAAACGCTTCACAATTTATGTGCCACTGCTTTTCCATGGAGTTCTCTGAATATAAGTCAAAGTGCAGGTCACAAAAGAATCCATTGTTCGCAAGCGAGAAATGTTGTTGGCTGTGAAGGTGGTTCAGAACAAGCCATCGTAGTCTGTTAAAACAGCAGATATTGATTTTAAACCCCAAAGCATAACAGTAATGTTTTTTATCTCCCAATTGTTAGAACCAAAATTCGCGGAAACAACTCTATGCCTCTGATACTGTTTTCTAGAAATGTGTGTGTGTGGATGTGTCTGTGTCTGTTTGTTTGGTCAATCCAAATCACACAATCAATGTAAATCTTTCACGCTGAGTTTTGCCCTAGTTATTTTTATGCTGTGCTTTCAGAAAGGTCAAAAAAAGCTTACCTCTGTTAGTGTCGTGGGAAGCCCCTTCTCCGCCTCAGCCTCACCCTGCAGGGTATGCCCTGGGAGCCCACAGTCTGTTAACAGGAAGCAGGTAAACTGGAGAGCGTCCACCTGCGTTCCAGTCCAGCGCCCGTCCAACACACACCTGCTTTTTCAGACCTGCCGCTCCTGTGTCACAGCCACGCACAGGGCCAGCCTTAGCAGAGGGCAACACCCTCCGTTTGGATCCCTCGTTTTCAGGGTGAGCAGCTAGGGAGCTGCTGAGATAATATTGCAGGGAAAGCTTGCCTTCCCAAGACAAAAACCTTTGCTGCTGCCTGATAGCAACATTATCACTCTGCATTCCACATGCTCCAATCAGCTAATTGCAACAGCAGTCAACAGCCTGTCCAAATGGCAGCTTGCAGGCCTGCGTGGCTCTGATCATTGTGTATGAATATGCCCATTGCTTCTGTCTTCCCTGAAGAGATGTATAAAAAGAGGCTTCTTCCAGGGGGAAGCTCAGCAGAATGCCACACTGTTTTCCATAAGTAAAATGGCTGGTCCTCCCAGCACGGCTGCAGACAGCTCATTGGGTTCCACTGGCTTTTCGTAGCCATAGCAACAGCCAACAGACAGACTTAGCAAGCATGGCTGATCATGTGCAGCACACCCACACAGCTTGTTAATTTCTTTTCATCAAACTCATCATTTTTTCTGAGGAGGGTAGCTTCTGTTATCTTTCTACACATTTCACGGATAGTACAAGTGCTGATTTTTTCCGCTCTCCTGAAGGACTCTTTTTAATCTAAGCCAGGGCTATGTATGAAATAGAGGAAGTGAAGCCCTATTAATGGCTATCCAGGTTAATAACATGCAAATCACTTGAGAGACCCTAACTGGAAGCATTGTGGAAACAAGTCCTACCTTCTAGTCATATAATGAGTGCAGAGCAGAGCTGCAAATCGGAGAGTTAGACTTTTTGTTGTTAAATCATAATCTTGTAGCCACTTAATTGAAACTAAATACTGTGAATTGTTCTGTAGGGCCAGAATAATAACTAAATCAGGTAGACTATTTTAATAAGATCTATCCATTTGCTTACGATTCATCTGATTATTTTAAGATGCTTTTTATGCAACTTAAAATAGAATTTTTAAAAAATTCCATTGTTTCTACTGCAGAAAATGATTCTTTAACTCAATCTTATTTGTAAATTAAGAATTCTTTTTAAAAAAACATCTGAACCTAATTAAAAATTATTTGACTTTAAACCTTATCTTCAAGGCAAGAATAGTTTTACATCCTTAGTAAGATGGCTCACATTCCACCCTTCCATAAAATTTCACCCCCTCTGGGAATCTACCATGATTAATGCCATTAACAATTTAAACCTTCTGCAAAACCCCAGCCTTTTCTTCTTTTTCAGTACTGTCTCACCAGTCATATTCCATCTGATAGATTTCCAAGGCACTGTCCCATTAATTTTGTTTCTAACGATCCGTTTGAAAGAGTTATGTTAACACTTTGGACTTGCAAATAGAGATGTTTTATTTGCTAAGTAGTCATTGATTCAGGATTCCGTTAGGTTTGCGTTTCCCTACCCATGTTAACACTCCCGACTTCAGTATTAATCCCCACATTTTGACTGTGTAGGAATCCTGTGGATGTAGATTTAGGGATGCCTGCTCCCTTTCCTCCCTAACCAGGTTCATGTTAGGTAGGTCTGAGTGCGCAGGATCAGCAAGTCCATTGAAGACAAGTGGGTGGAGCTTTCCTGCTGGGGAGAGTTCTCACCCCTTCAGATCACCTCAAGGCAGTCTGCCTTTTCTCACTGAAGTTCCCTTCCCTGAAGTTATTTTGCATTTGCTGCTGCTGAGTGTGCCCCTGCCTTCACCCTCAGCCTCTATTCTCCTCTTCACTGGCCACATTTCAGAATCTTGAGTTACATACCATGTCACACTTCCTTGCCCTGCAGATGCTGCTACCATTGAAAAGCTTCTCGGTCTGACTGCTCCTCACCCCAGCACCTGCAGCCTCCTTCCTTATCTGCTCCTCCCTTACCTTTCAACGCCTGGCCCCAAATGACCACCTCACTAGTGACTCTCCCAGGTGGAGGCGGAGTGACGTCTTCCATGCTGCCCCTATATTGGTGTCCACCTCTGCTATTACAGACCTTGTCATGCGCTGCCGACTTCTTAGCAGTGCGCCTTTTAGGCCTGACTCCCAGACTGTTCTGGCAGCTCCCAGAAAGCCAATCTGGTCCATGTCTTCTTTGCCTTCCATGCTTGAAATATTCTAATTTCTCAATACCTTTGAATGAGGACCTACAGCACTGTATGAAAAGGTACTGATGACTGGATGGTGTGAAATCTGTGTTTTAATTCACTTTTCAATGTCACACATTTGTTGACTTATCACTTCAGAAGAATTTAAGAGATTTTGACAAAATGTTGGCAGGTTACAGAAGGATGTCAGGAAAACTCTAGGTTCATTTGATGTTTTAGGGTGGCTGTTCTTTTCATTGTATGTCTGAAAATGTCTTTATACCCTCACACTTGATCGACTGGTTGGCAAGGTATGAGAATCTCTGGTCGTGGCTCACACCCTACTCCCAGGGCTTTGGGAGGCTGAGCCAGGAGGATCCCTTGAGCCCAGGAGTCTGAGACCAACTTGGGCAACAGATCCCATCTCTACAAAAAAAAAAAAAAATTCAAACAATTAGCCAGGCGTGGTGGTGCACGCCTGTGGTCCCAGCTACTTTGGAAGCTGAAACAGGGGGACGGGTTGAGGCTGGGAGGTCGAGGCTGCCGTGACTGTGGTCACGTGACTGTACTTCTGCTTGCAACAGAGGGAGACCCTGTCTCTGTTTTTTACTAAAAAAAAAAAAAAAAAAAAATCTCTGAAGTCATTTTCCTTCAGAATTTCGAAGGCCTTCATCCCTTTTCTCATATCTCCTCTTCCCCTATACCTCCAATTCCTGCTCCTCCAAAGAGAACTGGAACCCCCCTCGGCTGCACTGAATGGAACTGGGAAGCTGGCAGAAACTGAGATTATTCCCCTTCCCTCCTTTGCCCCCAGGATCGCCCCGGCATCTCCATCGATCTTCCCGCAGCACTCTGCTGCAGCTCTGCTCTGCAGTGCTCTTGGCTCCCTCGCCTGCCCTGAGCCCCTCCCCTTGTAACTTTGTACACTGGGGCCCGTTGGCATTGCTCTGCCCTCAGGCCCTGCCCTAGCCCAGGCCCCTGTCGGTTATTCTCCTTCAGAACGTATTTGTTTTAAAATGTGCTAAACACAGATTTCCAAGAGATAAGTATGATTTTTCCAGCCCATCTTTCTGAGTCAGACGAGATGCCACCTATATGGTCAGCAGCTTTACGTCCGGACCACCCTGTGCCTCGGTCCAATCAGGGGTGACAAGGACACTTGGCGTTACCTAGTGTTAAAATCTTGCTAATGTGATAGGTGCAGAGTAATAGCTCATTACTGTTGAATTTGTGTTTCTCTATTTACTGACAAACAGAATACCTTTTCGTTCTTGATGGCTTTTGGGGTTTCCTCTTCTGTAAAATTTTCTGTTCATAGCTTTTGCCTGTTTTCTCTATTGAGATTGTCTTAGTGTGGAATTTTAAACAAAACGGTCATAACAAGTATTTATATATATATTTAAATATTATAATTAAATTTGTTATGTATTAAAAGTTATTAAGATATCCACTAACATATAAAGGGAGCCCTATAATTCACACCGCTAGTTGCTTTGTTTTTTATTATGAAATGAAAACAGAGTGTGTGGAAATCTCCACTCAGAAATTATTTTCAGTATGAACACATAGACTACCATACCATAATATGCTTTTCTAAAGCAAACATTTGTTTAGAAGGATTTTCAAACAAATATAATACTATCAGAGAATATATATACATACATACATATATGTGCTCTGATAGTACACACACACACACACACACACACACACACACACACACACAGATATATGGAGAGAGAGCTATTTATTTTTCTAGCTTCTACTTTGAGTTATACCCTATACATACCTACACGTCAATCAATCTATCTACCTATTGTCTATCTATCATCTATTGAAGGCAAACACAAATGTTCAAAATACTAACACCTGATGAATCTTAAGTGAGAATATTTTCAGTTTTTTTTACCGTTCTTTCCACTTTTCAGTAAGTTTAAACTTTTTGTTTTCAAGACACATAGTCTAAAAAAACGAAATAAAATGAGAATAAAATAGTGTTTAGAACAGACACAGATTTAAGGTTAAGATCACTTGATAGGGACATAACTGTTTATCAGAGTTGAAACTAAAGAACTTGATAAGTTATGGAGTCACTGTATAAGTTATGGAGTCACT